TAATGAATCATGAATGCACAAATTAAAGCAGCTAATTATTATTATGAAATATACTTCATATAATCTTCTGACACAAAATTCCTTGTGCGTAGCATGTGTAACAATTCAAACACCTATTAATGTTTTCTTCATAAATATGCATTCTATTATCAGATTCAAATGATATGTATGCACGAGTTCACCGCTAATTATATTTATCGGCCTAAAGTTCGCTACAGTGATTGTTTAAAAAGTTTAATTGAGAGAAGTCTTACACATAAGATGTCAAAAAAATAAAAAACAACAATAAAAAATATATTTCTGTTCTTTAACCCGTAACAGTTTTAATTCAAAATATATTTTCTTGAACAGATAGCATCATCTCCCCAGCCTTGTTTTCACATTTCTTTATTTGCTTGCTTTATTGTATTTACGTTTTTCCAGTTTAGTTAATAAACCTAAGGAGTTCCTTTTCTATTTCGACGTGGCTAAAGTGCATTGATTTTATTGTTTCTGGTTATTTACTATTTATTATGCTCCAAGGAATAATCAAACTTCACGCTAATGCAATTAAAAGTTACAGACATGTGTAGGAATACCATTTTGGATGTACTTCAAAACTCTGAAGGATACAAAGATTGGGTTTTCGATTTTAAAATCAAAGAAACCAAATTCTTATTCATGAAATCTATCCAAATTAGATTTTCTCTTTTTTTTTCGTGTTATTGTATTTTATTTATATTTTCCCATTCTGAATTTTTAATGAATCATGAATGCACAAATTAAAGCAGCTAATTATTATTATGAAATATACTTCACATAATCTTCTGACACAAAATTCCTTGTGTTTCCATCTCACATGTTGTGCGTAGCATGTGTAACAATTCAAACACCTATTAATGTTTTCTTCATAAATATGCATTCTACTATCAGATTCAAATGATATGTATGCACGAGTTCACCGCTAATTATATTTATCGGCCTAAAGTTCGCTACAGTAATCATTTAGAAAGTTTAATTGAGAGAAGTCTTACACATAAGATGTTAAAAAAAAAAAAACAACAATAAAAAATATATTCATAGCGAATGAAAGAAAAAATGATTTAGATTATCAGAAGTGAGAGGTGCCCTGTAAAGACTCCAAGATTTAAAATCTGGAAACTAATGACGTGACTTTGAGAAATACTTACCATTTTCCTTCTAGAGATATAAGTATCTAATTATGATCACTTTGTGTGAAAAAATATATTTTAATGTTTGTCATGTCATGTTAAATTGCATGAATACCCAACTGTACATTGTATGCCTACGAGCTTACCACACCGTCAACACACAATGCAAGGTTATTGTTTCATATCGTATCTTATTATGCCAAACACGACAATATGTGAATGTTAATATTTAACATTATTAGTTCTCATTTAAATTTATATGTTAATTTGTTCTAAATATATTACTATGTCGATATGTAAATCGCAAACTAAAACCAAACCAAGTAGCAAATAATGGTTTGATTTGATTTGGTTTGAAAACAAATTAAACTGTTTGAAATGATTTGAGTTGAAAATATGATATAAACCGTCCAAATTGAACCGCGTTCACCCTGGTTAGACCGACGCCAGTCTCTACCATAAGCCACACCTAATTGATATCAGTGCCTAGAATAATATCACATAAGGTTAAAGTATGGAAAAAATGAAGATCGATAATAGTGTACACACAAATGATAACTTGTTTCTCATTCCAGCATTAGTGCGAGAGACCAAAAAACCATCTATTTTATGCTCATTTGCATGGGACCATAGTCACGTTTTAAATCTTTCAAGACATAATAGGGATGACGATGGAACATATCAAAGTGAATGTAGCCATTACTATCCTAATAATTTTTTATACTATTTTTTATCTACAATTTTATGAGCAACTCTAGGTCTTCCAAATCTTGCTTCAAACATTCAACCTATTAGGCATACACATTGGTAATTACCAAAAAATAGAAATTATAACGAAAAAAAAAAAAAAAAACTAAATTAGGCTTCATAAAGTACTTTGATTTTTAGATGATAAAAAAAAAAAAAAACTTTCGACGAGCATCCTTTGTTGTGATAACAGCATGCTCCGACATTAGAGTTGCATCACCAAAGCCGACAAATATGAAATCTGGCCATTGTCGCGTTGTAAAATTTGGGATTCTTATAGAGGAGTGAAAATGAAGGACTGTAAAATTGCAATACTTCTAGAAAAATTCTTGTTATTGCCCCCAATAATTTCATCTAATTCATTAATTACTACTGTATAATCAAGATAAACTCTGATAAAGAGATGCAAGATTTATAAAGTATCCAACTCTTCCAGGAGTCTCTTGCGGTGGCGATCAGAAGAATGGCTTACCTCATATTACCATGTAAGTTAAATAAACTCAGGATAGGTTCTAATCACTTCTCCTATTAATGACTTGTCTGTGATGTATTTATTTTATAAATATAACTGGTCAGACGAATTTTTTTTTTTAATTAACACATTTACTACAAGTACCATCCACTTATTCACTCACTTAGGCTTAAAGTCCGATTAATTCTTTTCTTTCTTCACAAATTCATTTAATACTTGATTGAGAATTAATGTGGCTATCAAAACCACCCATATGTACAAGTCATATCAAGTATCCTGATCTTCGAAGAATTCCTTACAATTGTTAAGGCATTAATTAGAAGAATTGCAGTCCGCAAAACTGCGTTAAATCCATACAGACGGTGCTGTGAGCCAATTAGCCAGTTGGATCGATCAAAAGCGTAATATTCTTGTATTGACAATAAAATAATATTACAAATTTGTTTGGACTCCATACGTCCAATGATTCTCCTATTAAAAATGTCACAATACAAAAATATATAACAATGTACAAAAATTAATAATACGATAAGTAATGTAATCAATTTTTATCATCAACTACAAACTTAGCTAAACCTACCTTTTTTTTTGTTCAAGAGAAGCTAATAAGCAATCATTTTGATGACTTTTTAAAATTAATTATTATTTGATGTTACAAAAGGTACAAGAATATGGGTCTTCTCAAATATTTTGGACAAAAATACTGTCTTTTCATTCAAATTTACCAACTTTGGGTTTGAGTGGGCTCAGCGCCTCAGCTGAACATTGTGCCTTCAATAAAGACAAATGGCATCAAACAAGATTTACAAACTATTTCAGTACTTTTTTTTTTCTTTATCATTAATTCATTTTGATGTTTTACAAGGTCAAATGTGGAATTCTAAATTCAATCATTTTACAATATTGTGCTATGAGCGCTTCTCGAATAGACATTGTTAGTCACAAGGTCAGTATCAACTAGAGAAAATTTTGATCGAACAATTTTTGTACCATCTTTTAAAATAGTGTTTCATATACAAATTTATGTCATATAAGAAAGAAGACGAGTTAACCGTAGATTAAATATTATTGTAGCCCTTACACCTCCATTGAGAATTGAGCTAGAAGATTATTAACAAGTCACACGTTAACACTTGATTCGCAAATTTCAATTGAAATGGCTATGATAAACACGTTTTTAATTAAATATGAGAAAATTGAAATAAAACCTCCATCTTTTTCTATATGTTATGTTTGAGCCACCTTATTGTAGAATGAGAATGAAAAATATAGTCGTTGTTGGGTCCACACAAGAGATAGAAAATTAGAATTTTAATATTGATGTGATAGATAACTGTCAGATTTTTCATTTTAATGAGATAAAAATGTGGACTAGATAGAAAATTAGAATTTAAATGTTGATGTGATGGATAACGATAATATTTTTCATTTTAATAAGATAAAAAGGTGACCCAAATAGAGGCGTAAAATGTCTTTTTTTTTTTTCATTTTCATATTTTTGTAATGTCAGACAGAATTATTTTCACTCGACTTTATGTCTATTTTGATTCTAAACTACTTCAAAAGACATTTAATTTGAAGATAAAATACCATATATTGAGAAGAAATAATGAAAAATATAAGTGCTATTAATAGACCTCTACCAAAAAGTCATATGGTGAGAAAGAGAGAAGATATAGATAGTGAATAGGTTCAATATTAAAGCAGTAAACATGAGAATTTCTTCAATCTATTTATCAAGGAATCGGTAGAGTAATTTAATTTAAATTTTATTATTAATGAATTAAATGTTACTAATAATATGAAATTAAAGGCATTGTCGACCAAGGAAAAAAAAAAATAAGGGCAAAAGTGTCAATGACTCCACGCTTTTCATGTACTGTAGATGTAGATTCAGCACATATTTGAATTATCAAAATTAATTTCAAAATATTGTAAGAAGAATCAAAAATAATTTTAAATTGAAAAAACCTTAAAATATAGACCCGGCCCATTTTCTAAGATGAAAACAAAAATAACGTGATGTAAGAATAATCAAAAATAATTTTAAATTGAAAAAACATTAAAATATAGACGCGGCCCTTTTTTTGTGATCAAAACAAAAATAACGTGATGTAAGTTATCCTTAGTCCTAGACTCCTTGTCTACCCCAAATACCAACAAACTATGTATACGCTCTGTCGTGTCTTTACTTTTACCCTTGAACGAATTCATTAGTATTACTAAAGTCAAATGATGACAACTTGGGTAATTCATTCATGAATAAGCGACTTTTCTTATTCACCTCACCTTGTACAGCTCATCTTTTCCCCCCAATTCCATCGTCAACTGATTACCCTAAAACCCCAAAAGCTATTTACAGTCAAAGAAAAGAAAACCCAGAAGTTCTATAACGTAAAGATTGGATTTTTAAGGGTTTAAGCTTGAAGAGATAAGAAACTTTGAAGAACCCCATTTCGGGAGAGTTTCCATTCTTTTAATTTGCTATTTATGGTAATTGAGCTTCTTTTACGTGCTTTCCTTTTAGTTTTGGTAGTAATTTCTGCTTCAATTAGATGACTTAAAATTTTGAGGTATATTTGTCTTGACTTTGTTATATTTTAGTTTATTTACTCAGGTGTATATGTGTTATGGGTAGTCAAGAGTCGTTCGGGCATGTGGGTATACTGAATGGGAACGCTATTACTCCATATGGAATTGGGTTTGAGCAATTGGGTAGTGAAAACGGTTCGGAGCCTGTGGATGGTGAGGATTTGACTGATTTAATGGTTACGGGAGACAGGTTAGGGCAGGTGAATAACCATGAGAAGGAAAAGGCAAATTTAGCTGATGAGGTGTTGGAAGACTTGGAGGAGTATTGGGAAGATATGAGCGACCGGTTAATGATTTCACGGATGGTGAGTGATTCAGTTATAAAGGGGATGGTGAATGCCGTGGAACAAGAGGCGGCTGAAAAAATTGCATCCAAAGATTTGGAAGTGGCAAAACTGAAGGAGCGATTACTGTCCTGCAATGTGGGTGTTGATAAATTTGAGTCTTTAGAGCCACATGTATTGCCAAGTAATTTAGAAAATGGGAATTGTGTTAGGCGCTTGATTTTATCAGATGCATATATGGACCAGGATAGAGTCAGGGAGTTTTTTTGCAGTTTAAGAAATGAGGCAAGAGAGCAGTTCAAGAAGGTTAAGAAGGAGATCAATGGTGTGAGAGGGTGTAATAACATTAAAAGGATTGGTTCAGGTTCTCAGTTGTTAGGTTTGGGTGAAATCTTGCACGAGAAGCAATCAGAAAGCTGGCTGTGTGTGGATAGGACACTAGATCATTTAAAGAATACGGTGGACACCATCTGCACACGGGTGGATGATATGCTTCACTTGTCTAAGAAACCACTTGTCGAATGGAAGCAGGAGAGACATATCCAAGGAGAAATTGAGGATATGGTGATGCAGAGTGTAATTAGGAGTCTTCAAGAGGAGTTTGAAGAGAAACTAATGGAACGAAATGCTCAATTTTGTGGCAGTCCCATCATGAATTTGCTAGAAAAGTTTGATGATATTTCTGGCTTACGCATCAAGTTAGATTCAATTCTTGACTCGCTTTCTCATCCTGAAACAGAGTTAATTTCCCATGGATCCCATGATATGGATCATATTCACAGTAAGGGCTTGAGCAACGATGTTAAACCACCGACAACTCTTTTGGAGGGAAATGGGAAACTGAAGGCATCTAAAACTGACGCCCCTGAGAACTTTGAGCATGCGCAGTTAAAGCACTTGTCGAAGGAAGAACTGGTGAATTATTTTAATGATATCATAACAAAGATGAAGAGAGACCATGAGTCTGCTTTGCTAGAAAAGACTGAAGAATGTTTTACTCTAAAGCGGAAGTACCTTAAACAGAAGAGTTCTTTTATGTCCTATAGAAAAGATGAGGAGTTTGACGTGTTGAGGAAAACTATTCCTGAAATTATTTCAAAACTGGATGATGTCCATTTAGAAACAGAGAAATTTTCTGAATTAACTAGTAATGTGGAGTGTCTGGTTAACTTGAAGGATAGAATCAACACCCTTCTCCGTGAAAATCGTCATCTGAGAGATGCACTTACTGATAAGAAAAATGAAGTAAAATGTCTGGAAGCACAGGTTTCTGATGCCGCAAGGAAAATTTTGCAGCATTCTGCGGCTGAGGAAGACAAGCTAAAGCTTCTAGGAAATCTTAATTCAGCAACCGAAGATATGCGTATAGAAGCTTTACTCACTGAAGAAGTCTACAAATGTGTTTTGAAGGAGCTGGATGGACAGATGAGATGTGACACTGAAGACACCAACATGGAGTTTCTTATTATGAGGGAAGTTTATGAAATACTTCTCAGTGGAGCAGCTGTCCCTGCTGAAACTACAAGTGGATATGAAATTGAAGATTCAGATATTGAATCACTGATCATGCAAGGACTATGTGGACTGTTATTTAGGGAAGCCACCAGGGACACTGAGGGAAAAATCAAGGAGTTGTATCAGGAATATTTGATTGAGAATGAAAAGAGAATCTCTCTAGAATCCAAAACTCTTGAAAAGGAAAATGAATTAAGGTTGGTGGTTCAAGAAAAGGAAAGATTAAAGAAAGAGCTACTCAAGCTGGAAAAATCAATAGAAGAGAAAAAGGAGTTTGCAACGGAGTTATTAACAACATTGGCAAAAGAGAATGCACAGTTTGAGCTAGCTTCTCGAGAGCTAAATAGATTAAGAGAACATGCAACTTGGCAGGAATCGTTGGTTACAGAGAGTAGCAAGGAATTAGAGTTAGTAAAGGGTCAGCTGCAAGAAGTGTTGGAGCGAATTAAAGAAGATGACGTGAAAATAAATGTATTGAATCAAAAGCTTGAACAGAGCATGGAGGAGTTGAAGGAAGCTAGTGAGAAACGAAAATTGGCTGGTGATCTTGCCCAAGAAAGATATGAAAATCGAGAGAAGGAACTAATTAAGCAAATGGACCTGGTATCAATAATGCATGGTGATTTTGGCATCAAAATATTAGAAAGTATCAAGAATAATAACTCAAGGTACAGCTCAAATTATGTTTATTCAATTTCATGTTTATATATTAACAAGCATTATGCTATTTTTTCTATTTGTGGCTATTTCTCTTTTTACTTCTGGTGAACCTGGAATGTTTTTTGGTGGTATTGTCTAGTGAAGGTTATTTACGAATGATGTTGCAAATTATGATACATACATTCGAACATCTATTTTCTGCTTCAAAGGCAGCCCATCTGTTGTTTGTGGGCAGGCTAGTCTTAACTAGTTGGATTTCTGGTTTATTATATCAGTCTACATACTTACATACACTTTCTTTAGATCTCCTAATAGTTCTAGCAACGAACACAGCAGAAGGTGAAGAAGGATTCATGTAGCTGACTTCAAATTTATTAGGAATAAAGCTTATTTTTTTGTTGGTGTTGTTTTGTGTGTATATGTAGACACACACGTTCTCTACTATACAGGTTAAACATTTTACACAAAGTAGCTGTTTCCCGGCATATGTAATATGATTTGCCATAAGTCAAAACCTGTTTTTGAGATTGACTGTCTTCATTGGTTTGGGGATCCTAACACGCAGCACAAAAATTTTCAGGTTGGAAGATGCACAATCTGATTTGAAATGTCTTACTGAGGTAGCTAATGATCTCAGAAGAACTGGTCAGATGTACAAACAGCGATTCGAGAGGAGATGTGCGGACCTTCAAATGGCTGAGGTTGAGGTAACTAATTGGGACTTAGCATGTGCTGTATTTGGATCTTATTTTTAAATTTTCTCAATAATATGAAAATCCTGAACCTATAAGGATTGAAAAATTGACCAACTAGTTTTAAAAAGTTATTATATTGATGATAGTGAATTTCTTCTTCTTTTGTGCTTGCATGTTAAATCGAGGGTGGGGGTAATGGTGGTATAATTTTGCGTTGTATCTTTGCTAGGCATCTTATACTAGATAGTGCAAGTTTGGCTGAGCTGGAAAAATTTACTTACTAGTAAATATGTAAGTTTTAAGTTTTAGAATATACTACTTTTTTAAAGGCAAATTTGCCGATGAGTAAGTTAATAACTATTTTTCTTGTCATGAGAAAAAAGCAACATATCTAAACATGTTCGGAAGCAAAAAGTTACTTAAAAGTAAGCTTGCTTTTAGCCCTTGCTTGAAAGTGATTATTGGAAAATCACTTTTTCCCTCTCATTTTCAACCACACATTCTTTATAGAAAAAATTATTTTTCAAATATCCTTCTAACTTTTGGCTACTTTTAAATGACATATTCTCCAATTAAATAATAACTTTCACACGAGCATTTAAGCTTGGCCAAATATGCTCTTAACTCAATCCATCTATAATATATTAAATATCACGTCAGTTAAGAAACATTTTTGGACGATTATATCCCTACCACAATTCAATTATTTTAACAATACCTATTCATTTTTCAATATAATTTACAAACTGTAATAGATACTACAAAATTCTTGTTCATGCATGTATTCCGTATTATTAATTATCAATTAACTTACATTCACATTCATTTAATTAATATTAATTATAATTTCACCTTTATGTCCATGTCCCTGTTATTAATTTTCAAATAATTAACATTAACATTTATTAATTAATATTAATTAGATTTTCATATTCAAGAATGCAGTTCATTATTCACGTCCATGTATGTTAATTAGCATTCAGTTTCTCTTAATTAAAAATTAAATTATATTCATTTAGTATAAATGATTTAACATTTATTGTCACACATATATTCCTTGGTATTCATTCTAAATTAATTAATATTTATGTTAATTCATGTGTCGAATTTGCAATTCATCTTCATTTATGTATTTAGTTGTAATTCTAATACTCACGTTTAAGTATGCATTTTATTATTTACATGCATATATAGCTCCGTTTGGGCCACCTTATTTTCTCATTAAAATGACAAATATGACCATTATCCATCATATCAACATTTAAATTCAAATTTTGTCTATCTTGTGTGACCCTGATAACGACTATATTTTTCATTCTCATTCTATAAAAATGTGGCTCAAACAAGGCCATAATAATTAATATTTTTTTTCAAGAGCTTACATTTCTTTCTTATTTAGATCAAAAAAGTAAATTAAGGGTCAAATATTATTTTCACAGCACTTATAAATCATTTTAGCACGTTCAACTTTGATTAGTACAAACAAAATACTGGATAGCTAATAACTGTGAATGTAATTGGCTAGAGAGGATTGGAGAGAAATTTTCCTTTTTCTTTTTCGGTGTTAAATGATCCATTTTACCCATTCTTTGCTCCATGACCTACTTATTGAGGTAATATAATCATTGTGTTGGAAATATTACTGCATGCAGTTTCCCTGGCTATTTCTTCTTTACATTCAGCTAACTAATTTTGTATTTAAAGTATTTGATAATTGTGTGCGAGACAAATTTTGAATTAATATATCTGAGTTTATAAAATCCCTCTCCTAATAACTGCACTCTCTCCTGAAATTCAGGTCGATCTTTTGGGGGATGAGGTGGATGCTCTTTTAAGTTTACTCAACAAGATATACATTGCACTCGATCATTACTCGCCAGTTTTACAGCACTATCCTGGAGTAAGATAAATCTGAGTAATACAGGAATATGCAATCTTGTTCATATGATATTTTTTGTTAATATATATTTGCTTGCCTGCCGTTTTATGATAATTGTGGAATTTTTTTTTTTTAATTACATCCTCTCATTATGCTACATTCTTACGAGTCCAAATGCCCAGAAGCTATTTTTTTGGGAGGTACCTATTCATATGCTATGTAAAATAAGTCAAATGATTGAGACCTGTATTATTTCAAGTTTTGTAGTCTTTTTCGAGTTACATCTACTTACTACGAGATTTAGCCCTTGTTTGAGATCCATTATTTGAAAAAAAAATGATTTTGGAATAGTTTTTTTTTGCAGAATGCGTAATTAAAAAGTAAGGAGAATTTTTTGATTTATTTGTAATATTATTTTATTGAGAGAATGTGTGATTGATAAGAGGAGAGAGAAAAATGAATTAAAATTTAATAGGGGCCAAACATGGGCTTAGATGTCGACTCAATTTGAGCCGATTAGGACTATGTTTCAAGTGCCCTCCCCACTTAAGCCTGCAGGTGGTAGCCGAGTGGGTGGGTTTGAGCTAACTTATCATGGTCTGTTTGCTATGTAGTACCAAACAGGAGTGGACGTACAATGGACTAAATTTTAGTTTCCTTTTCTTCTATAGTGCCGTCCAATCCTGTATATTCCATCCTACCAGACCTAGCCCGCAGACTATTTTCCTGCATTAGCATGTTATGTATGGTCCACATTATTCTCTGCATGAAAGCTGAGAAGTAACTAATTAAACAGCGGTTTATTTACTTTGTTGCAGATTATTGAGATCCTTAAGCTCGTTCGAAGAGAATTAACTGGAGAAGCCACTAAGACAAATTGACGAACTCTTTGGTAAGGTAGTTTTCTATTATGGTAAATTTTTTGCTGCATTGTCAATTTTTTCTCCTTATTCTTTATACACGCAGCCAATTATAAGTGGGTGCAAATTACTTGCCTTGATGAAGATTTATTTGTGTGAAAGATTTCTTTCCATGGACCAAACGAGGCTCATTTTTATTACTTAACCTATAATTTTGCTTTAAGCTGTTTCTTGATTCTCATTGTTTAAACTAGGATGGATTGCAAAGCCTTGCCCTACTGCTTGTGCCTATGTGAAGATAAATTGATTTGGGCTAAAGCATAATCGCTCTGTCCACGCAACTGAGTACATCAACTTGTGGTGGTTGGAACCAGAAGACGGGCCCTTCGATACTGATAATGTACTGAGGGGAGTCGAGCATCTGCTGAAAATGTTGGAGCATTTTTTACTTGAACATTCCCAGATCCAACAAAGGAATAGTATGATCTTTGCATTAGGTTTCTTATGTTCCCTTAATTTTTTTGTTCCTTTTTTTTTTTTGTATACGTGTAGAGTAAATCTGTTTCCCTTCTGTGACAATACAAATACTTGGCTTCTGCAGTAATATTTGTTCTTTTTCTGTCTTGGTGAACATGATAGTTAATCTCTATTGTTAGCTGGGTATAAAATTGCAAGTTTGGTATCTTATTTTTAATTTTTTTCCCTCAAAATGTTGTATTCAATATCAAAGAAAAAAGTAGTAATAATGTTGTTGCGAGTGTGGTAGTGTTTATAGAACATGCCCTAAAAGCGCTCGTATGTTAGATTAGACAAAATTAATAAAATGGTCATTTTTCAAGATTTTTGAAATGTCAAAAGTGGTTTATGAAATTAATAAGTTATTTTTGAATATGTTTAGACAATTTTTTAAATGTGTTTTGTCAAGCTAGAATAATTTTTAGAGGGGTCGACTAAAAAGATTTAATCAAGAAGTTCTTTTACAAAAAATATAGCAAATGCACAAGTAATTATCAATTGAATCCAAAAATGCACATCACGACGATAGCCCGCATATGATACAATTTAATTCAATTCAACGTATTTAATTGAGTTCTTGTTCGGTTTAGATAAAAATTATATTTTTAGTAAATTTTGATAAAATTTGATGAAATTTGTATTTATCAAATTGTGAATCTCTTGAGTTATGTGATTAAAATTAGAACCTTGTTATAGGTACAAAAAAATTTGCCAGACAATTGTCAGATCCAGACAATTGCCAGATTTTTGAAATCAAAGGCCAGGAATTAAACAAAAAGGCAGGAAAAAAAAAAAATCAAAGGCCACAATCATTTTCTGGTAAATTTCTGGTAAAATTCCCTGTACTCACGGAATTTTCCTTAAAATTAATAGTTAATTTTGACTTAAATTTGAATTAGATTTTTTTGCTGAACCAAACAGAAACTTTATCCCTAATAATTGTTATTATTTTGTTTCTCAAAATTATTAATTATAAAAATAAAAAATGAAAGGATCCATCAAACTAGATCTGGGCCTTGAGACATTGGTCACTGAGCCCAATTCTAAATGGGACGAGGTCTATTCTATCCTAGTGTCATTCATGGGTGTACGTATAAAACCCTAAAAAACATTTCTTACCCTCTTTGCTGAACACTCACTGCAAATCTCTCTGTAATTTGATTTCAGAGCAAGAATAACATCAGAAAAGAAAAGAAAGAGATAATAGTAAATGCCTCCGAAAGCAGCTAAATCAAAGGAAACCCCGGCCGAACGGCCGATTCTTGGTCGGTTTTCCTCTCACCTTAAAATTGGAATTGTAAGTTTGTAATTTTTATTTTCATATGTGACGTGTGATCTCCTTGTATAGATTTTATGTTTATCTAGTAGTACATAATCTCATTTTTGGGCGCTGTGTGAAATGTCGTGAATTCTATTTTTAACTGTTTGTTTTGGTTTCTGATAAAGTTGGATCAATATTTAATTATGTCTAACATTTAAGTTTTCAACGGATTTTTAGATTGCCATCTATTTTATTTCTGGACTGTAAAATGATTACATTGATTTCATTGCAAGTATATATATAAAAAAGAGAGGATTTTTCTTGATATCGTATTTGTATATTTGCTCAGAGAGAAACTTAATACTGCTCTCTTTAAATAATTGTTTTAATTTTTATTGGTTTTCAGGTTGGGTTGCCAAATGTGGGCAAATCAACTCTTTTCAACACCCTTACCAAGTTATCCATTCCCGCTGAAAATTTCCCCTTTTGTACTATTGAGCCCAATGAGGCTCGAGTCAATATTCCTGATGAGCGATTTGATTGGCTTTGTCAACTGTTCAAGCCAAAGAGTGAGGTTAGTGACTTGAATTGAAGATTCCTTACACATTGAAAGAATTGAACTTTGTGTTCTCTTCACAGAATAAATAATGTGCGTCTAGTCTGTTTAATGCCTGGCTTCATGTTGGAAAGTCTTAGTGATAGCTTGTCTTCCACCATGATTTTCTTCTAAGTAGTTGGCGTAAGATTTCAGTCTTTGGGTTGATAAATTACTTGCTAACTTAATGTTGGATAGGTGTCAGCTTTCTTAGAAATTCATGATATAGCTGGACTTGTTCGCGGTGCTCATGAAGGACAAGGATTGGGAAACAACTTCTTATCTCACATCCGTGCTGTTGATGGCATTTTTCATGTTTTACGTAAGCCATTTGTATCTGCATTTTTCTTTTCTTTAAGAGACATTCTTGGTCAGGATTTGGCTCGGTGACTTTTATATAATTTCATAAAAGTGTAATTATTATTATTATTTTTTCGTAGAAGAGCAATTGTTACCTGTTTTATATTTCTTTCATCTATCCCAAAATGATATGCTATAACGCTACATTATATCATGTTTGCTTTTCTTTCTACCTCGTCATGTATAGGTTAATGTAATCCATTCTTTGCTAGATGCCTTAACTTATATATGAACAGTTTTATCCATTATTTTGCGCGTTTCTCTTTTAAAGACGCTTAACAAACTCCTCTACTTTAATGTTCTAAAAGTTCTCATTTACACTAGTAATTATACGAAGAGTTGTTACGACCATATTTTTTATTACTAATTTTTGTCACGTCTGATGTCACTGGAATTCATTCTCTTACATTCTCATGTTGTGTAGGTGCATTTGAAGATCCTGATATCATCCATGTTGATGACTCTGTGGATCCCGTGAGAGATTTAGAGGTTATATCTGCTGAATTGCGGCTCAAGGTAAGTTTGAGATAAACTTGGGTATCAAGATTTGAATATTTTTTTGCACATTTTTTTAATAGGCATCCGTATTATCCCTTGGGTCTTTCTGTGTTTCTTATTCTCTTCAATAGTTATCAATTCATGCTACTCCTCAGTTTTGATGTTTCTGAATATTTTGATGTTCCACGTGACATAAGGATCTTGAATTCATGGCGAGGAATATAGAGGATCTCGAGAAGAGCATGAAGAGAAGCAATGAAAAGCAATTGAAAATAGAGCACGAGTTGTGTCTAAAGGTTTGCATTTTATCATCTCAATATTAGTTTTCTTATTCAGTCAGTCTATCATTGGTGCTATCTGTTATAGAGTCCGTTCTAATACATCTATATATCTATGCTTAAATTACTTCGTATCCCCGAATCTAGATTTATGATGTCAGGAGCTCTGACCGTGACATCTCATTTTGATGCTAATATATTTTGCTTTTAAGTGTTCTTTCTATTACTGTCCGGTATATCTAGTTGACTAGCTTGGTTGGTGGAGTGACCTATGAAATCTGGCATGTGGTTATACCACCCACATAGTATCACCAACTGGATACTAGTTGATATTCCTCATGTTATTTGCTTGAACAAACCATTTGCATTATTTATATGGTTTTAAGGTGGCTTGCACTTCTCTATTTTAATATCTTTTTCTGTGCAAGAAGATTTTTGCCTATTGTTGATTTTTCACAACATGCACACACAACGGTGTGTTTATGCATCAACTACGAAACTTATCACTTCTACACTTTGTGTAAAGCTGGTTTAGTTATATAGCATATGGCCATTTAGAGACTATCAATGCGATCAATGCCAGTACCTGTTAGAATGTTACAAGGTAGGTTATATGAGCTTTGTAATCTTAGATGTTCACCTAACTGCAAGGCGTGGTTAGTTCCCACATTATGTTTTGAAGTTTTTTTCTTGATTAGAGACAAGTTGTAACAACATTGACATGCAAATTATGTGATGCCTTTGGATCAGGAAAAATCAGTAACTGGTTTGTCACCGGAAAAGTCTCAGGAGTTAGACTGCTTATATTTAAAGAAAATGATAATATGATACCAACTACAAAATAATTACGAGTTAAATTTTTTGGATGGCCTTTATATATCCTCGGTTAGATGTTACTGAACTGTTTTGTCAATAATAATATTTTTAGTATGCTCTATAGTTTATTCGATACTGTCTTGCTGCCACGTGGAGGTCAAAGAAATGGGTAATTCGGTTTGGAAACAGATATAATGTAACCTATGTTTCTTCTTTTACCTTGTAGGATAAATTCATTTCAAACATCATAAAATTGCGTGGTCATTAAGTTAAACTTTTGGGGTGCTTTGTTTGATATGGGAACTCAAGCATTGTGAAGGGGGTCAAAGAAATACATAGATCAGTTATGGGAGCTCATCGCTGTCACGTTTGTCATTTGGCCTTCTTTTACCAGTGTCGTTTGGAATATTAAGGTTCACCCTCTGTTTTGTCATTTACTATTCCTTGTTCCGCATAAATGTCCGCTTCATACTGGTTGGATATTATAAAACATACTCTTTTGCATGTTTTTTAATTATGCTGTAATGGTATAGAAATATTTAACTGGTCATATCTGAAAATGCATAGTACAGTATATGATATACGTCTTTGATACTGAATGTCGGTTATTATTGGATTGACAAGGTCAAATCAGTGCTTGAGGAGGGAAAGGATGTCCGTTTGGTGGAGTGGAAAGCCGCCGATATTGAGATCCTGAATACTTTTCAGTTGCTCACTGCTAAACCTGTGGTCTACTTGGTGAGTGGCTGTAATTACATGGCGAAATATGCCTGTTTGATAATTCCTTTCAAGATCGTTCTTTATTAGAACTAAACTTATAGGTAAATGCATTCCGAGTAGAATCCCTAAACAATAAAAAAATAATATAAAGTACAATCCAGAATTAGCTGCCTGGTCCTCATGAAAATTCTAACTAGTAGACTGCATGTGATGATCTTAAGTTCTGCTTCACATATATTTCTAAGTTCGAAATAGCCTTAAGAAATTTGACGCCTTTTCGTCTTGTTGGAAATGTATACACTCATGTTTTTTAATGTATTTTGATGTGTTTATGGGCAGGTTAACATGAATGAGAAAGATTATCAAAGAAAAAAGAACAAATTTCTTCCAAAGATACATGCTTGGTACATGCCATCTTACTTTTATATTTATTGTAGTCTGGTGTTTGTTTCTTACAAGCTAACACTGCTGGTATATGGATGACTAGAAAATTGTTGCTTAATATATAGACGTAATATCTCATTATATATGGTTTTTAAAGAAATTATTTTTGAAATTGCGGAATAGGTTTACTTTGGTATGTTTCTCCTATTCATCCAAGAACTCAATATCTATATGCAATTTGTCATTAATAGTATCCTCTCCCCCACCCACCCCCAACCCCTCGATTTCCTACTTCCCGTTGAGCACAAGATTTCAAAGAATGCACCCTTATATTTAGCCCCTGTTTGGTGGGGTTTCAGATTTTTAGTAGATTTTAATAGAAGTTGATAAAATATGTGGTTGAAAAGTTGTGGGTCCCACGAAATGTGTGATGAAGAGGGTGTTTGGTGGGAATTAAAATTAGATTTTTAGTGGATTGTGATAGAAAATTTTGAAATGTGTGGTTGAAAAGATGTGAGACTCATGAAAGATGTAGTTAATATTGATTGTTTGATTTTGACTTAGATTAAAATCAGATTTTAATCCGGCCCAAACATGCCCTAAAATTATTTGTCGACTTTGATTGAGATTAAAATTTGGATTTTAATTTTCACCAAACAGGGCTTAATTTCACTTTTTATAGAAAACGACGGAAGCTCTTAAACCAGAAAAATGTTTCTTTCCTCTTGCAAGCATCCTCCTACCTCCATTGGAAGTTTTTAAAACCCAAGCCATGTCCTTCAAAATTTTCTAGGGTGCAGGAGCATGGTGGTGAAACAATAATCCCTTTCAGCTGTGCTTTAGAGAGAAATCTTGCTGACATGCCCCCAGATGAAGCTGCCAAATATTGCGAGGAGAACAAAGTACAAAGGTGGATTCAGAGTGTGTTAATAAAGAAGTTGTATAATTCGAAGTAACTCAACTGACATCGGTTTGTTTTGCGACAGTGCGCTTCCGAAGATCATAAAGACTGGATTCTCAGCCATTAACCTTATATACTTCTTCACGGCAGGACCAGATGAGGTATTTCAAATACACGAATGTTTTGTCTTGCCATTTCCGTTGTTTGCTTGTACACATTTCTAGTAAGTTTACTGAAACCAATTTTAACTATAATACTACTTTGAGTTACCTATTCTTGTGTCACTTGGCAAAGAGTTGAAGGCTTTGCTTATCCTTGCTTTGTTCTATTTCCTTTTCTTTAGATGTAATTCGTGATCTTTGCTAAGTATCATGTTGTTACATATATCATAAGTGATGTGCTCTTTATTGTTTCTGGTATTGCAAGATGCACTTCTTTTTCTTTATGTTAATCAGCTACCTGGACCTTATTTCTAGTTTATTTCATAGTTTCCTTCCCATTTTATAATATGTTTGAATGTACAATTGACATTTACTAGCATTTTTTATGCTGCGTGACAATGAATATGGTTTCACACAGGTGAAGTGCTGGCAAATTCGTCGACAGACAAAAGCTCCTCAAGCTGCAGGGACAATTCATACTGATTTTGAAAGAGGGTTCATTTGTGCCGAGGTTTTTTTTTTAAAACTTCACTTTTTATTAAGAATCGCTATTATGACTTGATATTTCTGTTTTGGTTCTGTCCTTTTCTTTTCAATTCAGCATTAGCTCAGTGCAAGTGCTCTGCCCTGTTTCTTCTGTGGTTATGTATGTGCTGCACAGTTCGTCTACTCCATCTTCACATGCCAGCCATTTCATTCCCATAGGAGTAGATACTACTTTTGATCTTCTCTTAGGTTGTGTTTGATACACAACAAATTCCTTGGAAAAGGGAAAAGGTTTTCCATTTTCCAAGAAAAAGCATGTTTGATGAGCCAAAAAAGGAAGGGAATTGATTTTCTTGGGGGAGAGGCCACGCGCCTATTTGCCATGTTTTTGGGGAAAATGAATTCTCACCTAATAGGTGGGAATTCATTTTCTCAGTTCACGTATTTTTTTTTTGTTTTTTTTTTATTTTTTGTAATGGAAACAAATTTCATAACTAATTGTCAAAAAAATTTTTACTTTAATGGATAATTTTCGTGTAAAATAAAGTCAAACGAACACTAAATTTTGATTAAAAAAATGATTTTTTAGGAAAAATAAAAAATTTCATTTTTTTTTACTTTTTGGCAATGGAAACAAATTTTATAACCAATTGTGGAAAAAAATATCACTTTAATGGACAATTTCCATATAAAACAAATTTGGCAATGGAAACAAATTTTATAACCAATTGTGGAAAAAAAAATCACTTTAATGGACAATTTCCATGTAAAACAAAGCCAAACGAATAGAAAATTTAAAAATTTTCCGGATGGAAAATTATACCAATCAAACACACTTAAAATCATTTTCCCTGCAAAACATTTTCTAAACAAATCTTTTCCCTGCAAAACATTTTCTTTCCACCAATTTTCCACCCTTACAATCAAACGGACACTTAGTCATACCTCTACAGTAATAATTTGTCTTTTTAAAACTCTATTTAAGAGTAGCCTTCCTTTTATGATACTGATACACTCCTCGTGTAGTTTTTTTATGTTTTTGTATTTAGATGTCATCTCTTAGATTTTTAGTAGATTTTGATAAAAGATGTTGAAATGTGTTGTTGAAAAGTTGTGAGTTAAAATTAGTTGTTGACTTTGACTTAGATTAAATATTGTCTCATTGGTTGGGAAGCTCGTTGTATTTGTACGGATAGTTCTTTTGTAAGTTAAAGATAAGTAGATAACAAATATAATTGTCATGCCAAAACATAATGTACTATCATTGTTGTTGATATTTCAAATGTTGAATTGGGTTCTTTGATGCATCATAGATCAAAAATTCAACCATACTATCATTGTTGCTGATATTTAAAATGTTAATTGTGTCCTTTTATGCATTATATAGGTCATGAAATTTGACGATTTAAAGGAACTCGGCAGTGAGGCAGCCGTAAAGGTATTTCTTCAATTTTTCCATTGGCAAAATGTTCATACATGATCAATTAAATGACATTTTTATAATGCTCATCGCCCTATTTGAATCTGTAATTACCAATTTTGGTTCAGTTATATGCTGATAAATTTTTCTTCATGTTGTGTACTCTTCTGGTATCTCTTTCCTGAAATCTAGATAACGAGATTATATTTATTCAAGGTGATTTCTTTACACAGAAAAAAGCCCCCGTTATAAGTAGGATGATGAAAGTCCATCAAAACAGTTGTTATATGATTATGAGAAATAGTAGATAGGAATGTGGTGTCAATACTTGAGTCTGCTTTTCAAGGAGGATGTGTTAATTGTCCGATTCTGGGTATTAGTTAAAAAGACTAGATTGTAACTATTTCCACGGCTTTTGATCTTTTCTTCCACTCTGATGGTCTCTATTTATATTTTTGTTTCATTTATAGTTTGGAGAACAACATGTTAACTTGTTTCCTTCATCAAATAGGCTGCTGGGAAGTACAAACAGGAGGGGAAGACGTATGTTGTTCAGGACGGAGACATAATATTCTTCAAATTTAACGTCTCTGGGGGCGGGAAGAAGTGAGTTATGCAACTCAGCCAATCTTGACACATTTTTTCTCATTGTAAGATTGGATGTGACTCGATCATTGCAATACGCGATTTCTTGAAATTACCTATGTTATGAGGGTTGTACGGAATCTTTGCATTTTCAGAATATCCACCACCATGATATATGCTTTACACTAATGTTGCCTTGATTCGAGTTTTTTGGGTAAATTCTTTACTGCAAAGAACTCAAGTAACTACCTACATTATCTTTCCTTTGTACTTTTTCTATTCTTTAATGCAAAGAACTCGAGTAAAATACCCATGACCTTCTACTATCTTTCCTTTGTACTTTTTCTTTGATGATATGATTGGTAAGATGGGTTAGACGGACGTATCCACTAGAAAATATTTTGTTACGCCCATATTTGTAAATTTTGAGAAAATCAGTTTCTCCAATGAAGGAAATCTTTATTTAAGACCTGCCTTTGCTTTGAGGGGTGCTGTAGGGTATGCATTTAAAAACATGAAAAGCCAAAGCTGCCTTTACAGTTGATTCGCTGCTAGTCCATTATGAAGCATTTAGAAAACAGGGATATTAAAATCAAGAAAATGCTAGAATACAAGACAAATGAGCAAATGGTGGGCCCCTTTTTGGCTCATGTACACCATGATTGCACTCAATCAGAAGGACCTAAAACCTCCAATCTCAATCTTTTCAGAAACGAAAGGGTGGTGTGGGACCATTTTGTCTTATGCCAACCATTGGATTGTGATCTTCATCAAGCAAATGCATCAAGGACCATCATTACCAAATCCTTCTCATTACACCCTCACCTACTCCACGTCTACTGAATTGCTATTTCATACACATAAAACCGGGAATTTTTTTTACTATTGGACCACAATTATTGTGTCAGTAACAAGTTAAGTCTTTAACCTTTAAAAAGTAATAAGTTAATCCATTACCTTTCATTCATTGCATTTTCTATTTATTTTTTTAAAATGTATGGATGAAATATTTATATCTATAATGAGAGAGAGAAAATACGGAACTAGGTTAAGTCCTTGTTTGGTGTCGTTAAAAAATTTGATTAAAATTTAAATTAAAATCAATAATTAATTTTAATCACACATTCCATATGATCCACTATTTTTTAACTACACATTCTATCAATTTTTATTAAAATTTGCTAAAAATCTTTTTGTAGTTTTTACCAAACAAGGGTTAAATTAAAAAATCTTAACCAAACAAATGGGAACGAGGGATGAAAGATAAAATGACATGGTGCATACTTTGATACTTCCTTATGCTCCTTGACTGTAGTCATGTTCTAGCTTATTGCTTGATAATTAATTCTGAATAAAAAAAATGTGTAAATGTTTATTAATATGAAAATATCTCGTTTCAAACTTTTTGATACCAATTCAAATTGGGTTCATAAAGTTATATATAGGGATCAGGAGACAATTTAACAGAGATTCAGATGATTTTTTGGACCAATTTTGCTACCATAGTTAAATGTTAAGAACTAACTTGCTTTCCCATAAGAATTAAGGATGAACATGATACTATGGTAATAGCTTGGGGACCAGTAGTGCTAATTTCCCTATAAAACCCTAGTCAAAGGGCAGTAGTGGGCCCAGTGTTTACACTTCCCCCGTGCTGCTACGCGTCAATTTTTTACTATTAACATTCATCAGTTCTCATAGAGGATCCCAGGAAATCTTAAATTAGATTTAATGAATCCATTTGACGTCCATTAGGACAAGATTCTCCTGCTTTTTCGTGGGGAAAGCTAGTCATTTACTTAGGCGGGACGATTAGTCTGTCAGCTCGACTTGTTCCACACACAAATCAAACTGGATTTTTTTTTGGTACGAGCTCGTCGATTTGTCCGAAAGCTTTGTAATATAATTTTTTTTTAAATAAAAATGTGGGAGTTGAACCGAGTGAATCGAGCCAGATCATCACAAAGCGAGCATGAACTAGCTTGTCAATGGGACAAATTGAGCTACTCGACCAGTTTATCCTCCCTAAATTAAATGATTTTATCACCTAGAAAAATACTGTATTTCCCGCTACTTCCACTTTTCTGCAACAGCTTTTTTTCGAAAAGAACTACTTTTAAGAAACAATTAATGTCAAATATAATTAACAAAAGTTCTGTTAATTTCGAAGTCAATCTAAAATGCCAAAGAATGAAACAAATCATGAGTGTATCCCACGTGTCTTTTTGGTGAGAGAAAGTGATGGTCATAAAGAGAATAGAGACAGTGTGCACAACAGATTATAAATTTATAGAATCGACAAAAAAGGCATTATCTTTTTTGGGTTTTTAGCCTCTTTCATATATTAAGGGAAATACTGAAATAGTAGGGGTTTTCTGCTTTAGAGCCTGTTTGCTATAGATTTTCATTTTCTACAGTAAATAAATTCTCATTTTCAACCACACATTTTTCAATAAAATAACATTTTCCATCACATCAATACTTTTTTCTTCTTTTTCAACCACACATTTCCCATCATATCACTATTTAAAAATCAATTCTTCTCCCAAAAATCCCTACCAAACACACTCTTAATTGCCAGACTTTTATGATAATCTGGTAGCTAATTATTTGTTGTTGAAGTTTCGAAAGGTCTAACCCCTTCTGGGCCATACATTTGCTTCATCTTTAGTCCATTTTCTATGCACATATTTTGTGTATTGAAGTATCTCACAGTATTTAAAGATTCATCTTTTGCAAGAGGCTACATCGATTAAATATTCGAAAGGGACGGTTTTTATTGGGCTATTTTCTTTTCAAAATGGTAAGAAATTGCTGACCTTTCCCATGGTTAGATCTCTAAAAATGACCCACTTTAAGCTGTTTAAGTTAGTGATTGCTTTGGCTTGAACAGCTATAAACCTCGTTCTTGTGTGGGTTAGGATATACATTGTAATTCTTTTGGTTCGACCTTTTATTGCATGGAGTTCTGGTTTATCCATGTTTTTCTCTAGTGTTGTTCTGCTGTTTAAGGATTCTTCACTTTTTTGGCATTAAAGGAACTGTTCTTTGAGCTGTTTGCTTTGTATGAGGTTTGATATCCTTTTGGTTTTCTTTTCTGTTTGGGTTTTTGGATAATAACCAAGTTAGGTTGCATCATTTTGCCAATTTATGCTGTGTAATTTGGTATATTATCTTACTGCTACGATTTCTATATCAGAAGGATAAATATACTCTTGGTTCTTGGCTTTTTGAGTTTATATCTTCAGTAGATGAAGCCATTGCTTGGGGTTAATATGAGGATATTTAGGCTTTTTATGGTTGCACTTTGTTTTCTCACGGCCCTCGGGCAGCTCCCTTCCCAGGACATTTTGGCGTTGCTTGAGTTCAAGAAAGGAATCAAGCATGACCCATCAGGTTTTGTTGTCGATTCATGGAACGATGAATCCATTGACTTCAATGGTTGTCCTGCATCTTGGAATGGGATTATGTGTAGTGGTGGTAATGTGGCAGCTGTTGTTCTTGACAACTTGGGTTTATCCGCGGATGTGGACTTGAGTGTGTTCTCTAATCTTACAATGTTAGTGAAACTCTCTATTTCAAACAACTCCATAACTGGGACATTGTCCAACAAGATTGGTGACTTCAAAAGTCTCGAGTATCTGGACATTTCTGACAATATGTTCTTCTCATTCTTGCCACCTGAAATTGGAAACTTGAGGAGCTTGAAAAATCTTTCATTGGCTGGGAACAACTTCTCTGGCTCGATCCCAGACTCAGTTTCAGGGCTTGCCTCAATTCACTCTTTGGACTTGAGTCGTAATTCACTTTCTGGGCCACTGCCATCATCTTTGACGAGATTGACCGGTCTGGTATATCTTAATCTATCTGTTAATGGATTTACGAAAAGAATCCCAAAAGGGTTTGAGATGACACAGCTTGAGGTTTTTGACTTGCATGGCAATATGCTTGATGGTAACTTGGATCCAGAATTCTTACGGCTCACTACTGCAATTCATGTTGATCTCAGTGGAAATTTGCTAGTGAGTTCTGCTAAAGAACAACAGAACTTTCTACTCTCTATTTCTCCCACTGTCAATCATTTAAATCTTAGTCACAATCAGCTAACGGGATCACTCGTTAGTGGCGGTGAAGTAGGGGCATTTGGGAATTTGAAAGTTCTGGATTTGAGCTACAATCAGCTGTCTGGGGAATTACCTGGATTCAATTTTGTTTATGATCTCCAGGTCCTCAAACTCAGCAACAACAAATTTTCAGGGTTCATTCCTAACAATCTTTTGAAGGGAGACTCATTGGTTTTAACTGAGTTGGATTTGAGCGGCAACAATCTTACAGGTAAACCTGGCTCTTCCTTCCTTATTCTTTAAAAATCCAACAGTTAGTTTAATAGTTTCTTTAACTCCATTTAATAATAAATTATGTAATGTCATAATTTTTATTCTTTTTCATGGTTGTGAAGCTTTTGCATTATGTCATGTTCTGGTATGATATATACTAGTTGTCTTTTCATGCTATCTGTTTTACTTTGCAGGGCCTATAAGTATGATAACATCAACAACATTACGATTTCTTAATCTCTCCTCAAATATACTTTTTGGTGAACTTCCAATATTGACAGGAAGTTGTATTGTGATTGATTTTTCAAAAAATCAATTTGAGGGAAATTTAACCAGAATGCTGAAATGGGGTAACATTGAAATTCTTGATCTAAGCCAAAACCACTTATCAGGCTCCTTTCCGGAAGTAACTGCTCAATTTCTGCGTTTGAACTATTTCAATCTATCTCGTAATTCCCTGAATGGTTCCCTTCCGAAAGTTATCACTCTGTTTCCGAAACTCACGGTCCTTGATGTCAGTTTCAATCAATTGGAGGGACCTCTTCTAAATTCCCTTTTAAAGTCATCCACGCTCCAAGAGCTTCATCTACAGAATAATAAACTTGCTGGAAATATTAATTTCTCATCTCGAATGGATGAATCAAAATTTTGTGTCCTTGATCTGTCTCATAATCAGCTCAGTGGTTATTTTCCTGATGGGTTTGGTTCGTTGACTGGACTTCAAATGCTCAACATTGGAGGAAATAATTTTTCAGGCTCTCTGCCTACTTCGTTGGGTGAGAACAGCACCCTAACTTCACTGGACATTTCCCAGAATCATTTTACCGGTCCCCTGCCGAAGACCTTGCCTAACAGTCTCCAAAGCTTCAATGCATCATATAATGATCTCTCTGGGATAGTTCCAGAAAATTTGAGAAAGTTTCCACTATCTTCGTTTTACCCTGGCAATTCTGAACTGCAGTTTCCAAATCCTCCTTGGGGCTCAAACCGCGGTCCATCTGGAAATCGCCATGGGAAACATATGAAAACTATTATCATGGTGGCGATAATAATTGCCTGTGTGATTGCTGTAGTCATTCTAATCCTGCTTGCTATTTTCATTCACTACAAGCGCACATCTAAAAGGCCTTCACCACATGTTATAAACAAAGATGTCCACCGTCAAACTTCAACAAAACCTTCTAGCTTTGCTGGAAGAGACAGTGGAGGCAGTTTGGTTGTTTCAGCTGAGGATCTTGTAACTGGGCGAAAGTGGTCATCATCAGAGATTATTAGTCCTGATGAGAAAATGGCTGCAATTACGGGTTTCTCACCATCGAAGACCAGCCATTTCTCTTGGTCGCCGGAGTCGGGAGATTCATATGCTGCAGATAGCCTTTCAAGACTGGATATTAGATCTCCAGATCGACTGGCCGGCGAGTTGTACTTTCTTGATGATACAATCTCATTTACAGCTGAGGCATTATCGAGAGCGCCAGCTGAAGTTCTGGGAAGGAGCAGCCATGGGACATCTTACCGGGCAACACTAGACAATGGGTTGTTCTTGACTGTGAAGTGGTTGAGGGAAGGAGTTGCAAAACCAAGAAAGGAATTTGCTAAAGAGGCGAAGAAATTTTCAAATATAAGACATCCAAACGTGGTTGGATTGAGAGGGTACTACTGGGGATCTACACAGCACGAGAAGCTCATTCTTTCAGAGTACATATCTCCTGGAAGTCTTGCGAGTTTCTTATATGGTAATCACTGCACTCTTCAGTCCTGCCAAGTATTTTGCTGCTAAAAGATTTTACATCATAAAAGATATTGCTTTAACTTCATTGATCTGTGTTTGTTTCTTCTTCTTCTTCCTTTTTTTTCCCCTATTCTTTTGTTTCTATCTTTTTCTATTTTTATTTATTTTGCTCCCCCTGCTTGCTTTATGAGAAAATGAAATTCTGTCTTCAATTATTTGTTGGTTTCATAGCACTTCACTTCCTTTAGCTGATTTAGATGAGATTTCTACAAGTTGCTGAAGCTTGCCCTTTTATTGAGTTGGAATACTCATTTATATTGTTGAAGACTCAGATATATGTCTATGGAATGTCTGAACTTGCAAAAATGTTAATGGAGAATAGAGGTTGTTTAATAATATGCTTGTATGATAGCCATCTGTTAAATTATTTCAGTTTAGACTCACTGAAATTTGTTTACAAGTTAGAAGAACGCTTCTATAAATTTCTTCTGCACATAATCCAACTTTCAATTATTCTAATATTTGAGAATGTGACGATACTATATTGTTTTTACGTATTAGGCGTAATTATCACATATCACTGAAAATGCTTCTACTTGGACAACCACCATTGGATATCATTGCTTTTAGCATTAAGAATCAGCGTCAGCTTACTCTTCCAATGCTTTTGATTATTTCCTAGTTTGCCATGGTATGCAGGAATCTTATTTGTCAAGTTTGATTTTGCTCTTCCGGTTGCTTTTGATGAATATTGCATATCTGTGAACTGATTTATATTGGGAAAAGAGAACTAATTCTTGTCTTTGCACATGCCGGTGCTACCTTTTTAAATAATGTATTCTGTGGTTACTTGATATATGCTCTTCTAACAACTAATATTTGTAGATCGGCCTGGAAGAAAGGGTCCACCCCTTTCCTGGCCCCGAAGGCTCAAAATAGCAGTTGATATTGCACGTGGCTTGAACTATCTCCATTTTGACCCTGCGGTTCCTCACGGAAACCTTAAAGCAAGCAATGTACTACTAGATGGCCCTGATCTTAATGCACGTGTTGCTGATTACTGCCTTCATCGCCTCATGACCCAATCAGGCACCGTTGAACAGATTCTTGATGCTGGGTTGTTAGGTTATCGTGCACCAGAGTTAGCTGCATCAAAGAAGCCACTCCCCTCCTTCAAATCGGATGTTTATGCTTTTGGAGTTATTATGTTAGAACTTCTTACTGGAAAGTGCGCAGGTGATGTGGTTTCTGGTGAAGATGGTGGGGTTGATTTGACGGATTGGGTTCGGATCAGAGTGGCAGAAGGTCATGGATCAGATTGTTTTGATGCTGCATTGACACCTGAGATGGGAATTCCGGCATCCGAAAAGGGAATGAAGGAGGTCCTCGGAATAGCTTTACGTTGTATCCGTTCCGTGTCCGAGAGGCCAGGTATCAAGACTATATACGAGGATCTATCGTCGATTTAGCTGTGTCGATTTTGCTTTAGGGAGCAAAGATTCTGGTGGGAATCAATTAGCTCATTGACTTCCCTTTTATTAGTTGAATTAGAGACGCAGAGAGACTCGCTAGTTTTTTCTTTTTATTTCTTCCGACCGTCGCTGTAAAGTGGGGGATATCTTCATGCATGCAAGCTTTTCTTCTCGTCTCTCTGCTAGTTTTTTCTTTTTATTTCTTCTGACTGTCGCTGTAAAGTGGGGGATATCTTCATGCATGCAAAAGCTTTTCTTCTTGTTAACGAGTTTTGATCACAATTCAAAAATGTCTTGCTAGGTTTGTTAAGGGTTAGCCCAGAGAAAGGTTCAAAAGAAATATTTTGATCAGTTGATTAATGAATTATCTTGTCCAAATTCAATTCTACCTTCATCATAGATTGTTTCTGAATTAATAGTCTAGTAAAAATAAAAATTCCAACACTAACATGTAGGCATCGCAAACATTCATCATTAACATGAACGAGCAAATTACAGTTAAAAGCCCATCTCAAATACAATTAACCACAAATCATACCATACATATGAACTATGAATCTGACTGATCCATTGATGACAAGTACACCAATCACCCACTGAAAAGATAATAATAGACCAAGAGATTTGGACATCTGATAGAAATTATAAGACACCTTAAGCCGCAAGCTCCTCCTCCTCCTCCTCCTCTTCTTCCTCATATTCCTCGTCGTCAGCAGTAGCATCCTGGTATTGCTGGTACTCGGCCACAAGATCGTTCATGTTACTCTCTGCCTCGGTGAATTCCATTTCGTCCATTCCCTCACCAGTGTACCAATGCAAGAAAGCTTTACGCCTGAACATAGCAGTGAATTGCTCGCTAACACGCCTGAACATCTCCTGAATTGAGGTCGAGTTGCCAATGAATGTCGATGCCATTTTCAGACCTTTCGGTGGGATATCACACACACTAGACTTAACATTGTTCGGAATCCACTCGACGAAGTAGGATGAATTCTTGTTCTGGACATTGATCATCTGTTCATCGACCTCTTTGGTGCTCATCTTGCCACGGAACATGGCTGAAGCAGTCAAGTAGCGACCATGACGTGGGTCAGCAGCACACATCATGTTCTTAGCATCCCACATTTGTTGGGTCAGTTCAGGAACCGTAAGAGCCCGGTACTGCTGGGAGCCTCTGGAGGTTAACGGTGCAAACCCAACCATGAAGAAGTGTAACCGTGGGAATGGGATAAGGTTAACTGCAAGTTTCCGCAGGTCAGAGTTGAGCTGTCCAGGGAATCGCAGACAGCAGGTGACACCACTCATTGTAGCAGAAATCAGGTGGTTGAGATCGCCAACTGAAACACAACACCCAAAATTCAATTATTACAAACATCTGATCAATGATGCCTACATTATATAATCAATTATCAAGCTCTTATTTGAATTTCAATGAGAAAAGAAATCAGAAAACGAAATGGAGATCTGCACTTACAAGTCGGAGTAGAAAGCTTGAGAGTACGAAAACAAATATCGTACAGAGCCTCGTTATCCAAAACCATACATTCATCTGCATTCTCAACGAGTTGATGAACAGATAGGGTAGCATTGTACGGCTCAACAACAGTGTCGGATACCTTCGGCGAAGGAAAAACCGAGAATGTCAACATCATGCGGTCAGGATACTCCTCCCTGATCTTGGAAATGAGAAGGGTGCCCATACCAGAACCGGTGCCTCCACCCAATGAATGACAGACTTGAAACCCTGTCGTACAAATAAAAAGAATCAGCATATTATAGTAGACGAACCAGCACGTGCATCTATATCTATCTCATTCATGCATAACAAGGATGTTATAATTAGTTATACGCCTATTATGAATCCATATATGAAAGTGTTTCAGTTGAGTCTTTCTTGGTAAGGTAATTTGCAAATAGATTCTCTCCTTTTTTGGCAGGGAAAAATGGGTTTATTGGACAAGAATAATTCAGATTGTTAAATTGTAACAGTGGTGGTGAACAATACAGAATGACAGATGAGCTATGAAGCACGACACTCCATGTCAGAAACATGTCCGTGTCCTATATTTTGAAAAGTCACATGCCGTTATCAGTCTGTGTCCGTGTTAGCGCTTCGTAGCGAAGATGACAGTAAAACAAAGCAGTAATTAAAAATAGAGACGTCTCCATAACACAAACTGCATAATACTATTACCACAGTATGATTGAGAGAAAACCCCAGTAGTGGTTCTATGAAAAGCGGTGGCAATTCTGGATCTCCTAATATCTATAAAATTCAGACCAAGAATGCACTAAAAAGAAAAATCCAATTGCAAGCATTCCATTGATACTGCGCTATCCTTCACACAATCAGATTCAAACCCAAAATCTAAATAGATATGAAGCATTATCACGTAAATATGTATATAATTCAGGCACAGAAAAGGGTGCAATCTTCAAAAGGAAACTCATAGCATGTAGCACATATAATTGAAATGCTTGATCTAACCAAATTCGCCAACAAAAACGTCAGATCAACCAGCAACAAATGAAAATCACGAAAAGAACCTTGCAAGCAATCGCAATTCTCGGCCTCTTTGCGGACAACATCAAGCACGGAATCAATCAGCTCAGCTCCCTCAGTGTAATGCCCCTTAGCCCAGTTGTTCCCAGCCCCGGACTGCCCGAAAACGAAATTGTCCGGCCTGAATATCTGTCCAAACGGGCCGGATCTGACGGAATCCATGGTGCCCGGCTCGAGATCCATTAAAACAGCTCGTGGAACGTACCTCCCGCCGCTGGCCTCATTGTAATAAACATTAATTCGCTCGAGCTGGAGTTCGGAATCTCCACTGTACTTTCCGGTTTGGTCAATTCCATGTTCATCGCATATGACCTCCCAGAACTTGGCACCGATCTGGTTTCCGCATTGGCCTCCCTGTATGTGAAGGATTTCTCTCATTGTTTGTGCGTGTCTGGCGTTTTTGAGAAATTAAAGAAGAATTGTGTTGTTTTAAGGTTTAGAACGTTTTTCTTGCTTCTGTCGGAAGAGTGGAGGAGCGGAAGTGCAGGGTGATTAGGGGGGTTTTTGTATTGAAGGAAAGCGCGTGGCTTTCACTTGGATCATCTTGATGTACAATTTTAGATTACAATTTGATAAACAATGACATGTCACGTTCATTCATTGGATAATTTCATCTAGTCACTAATTTTTTGTCAACACATATGATATTATCCAAATTGTCTTTCATAGTTATACATATAGATTAATCATTCTTTTTATAGTTCTTTAATAATATGTTCAAAAGTCGACTCAAATGTTCAAAATGTTCAAATTCTCTAGAAAATGCCAGATGGATATAATTGTGACCGAGCATTCTCTTTCATTTGGAATTGGGCATCGAAATATATCAGTGAAAAAGTGATGTTCTCCATGTCATATAGGACTCGTAACCTGAACGAATAATCACTCATAGTTTTCTTATTTTTTTTTTTATTTTGTAACTATGTTTAAGTTGAAATGGTATCGCTCGCGTCACTTAAGTGAGAGTGGGGTGACTCATTGTCTTGCCTCTTGCACTACGTATTAGTTCAATCAAGTGAGCTCAATTTATTCTTTTATTTCATCGAATGTTGAATCAATTTGGCTTAATAAATCACGGTTTATTTTCAAGCGAAAGGAAGGATCAAATTCAAGTCAAATTGTTTGAAAAGCTAAAAGCTGCTTTTGATATCAAGAAAGCTATTTTTGAACATTTTTTGATATTTTTTGAAAATTATTTATTTGACTAAAAGAGAATTTAGATGAAAGCGATTAAAAGTATTTTGGAGGAAATCTTTTCTACAAGGAGTAGAAATAGATCATAAAAGTTTAAAGCAATAAATAATCACACTGTTGGTTAGGATGTAACTTGCATGTCATAATTGCAGGGTCTGAAGTCTGTCTTTTATCATTTAAGTTAGCATTATAAAATTTATCATTATTACCATAATTAGGATTGTATTATGATTATTTTGTGATTACACTGCAAAAAAGTAAATATCGAATTTAGTGCTATTACTGTCAATCCTTACTACCCAGATTTTTGTGGTAAGTGGAAGCCCAAATCATTTCAATTTGAAAGGCCCAGCTCATTTTACGGGCCTGCCTTGGTCTACTATTATCCCTAAAACACTGGCTTGGATTGAAAGATGGAAGACCCATCAGGCCACATTCAGATTAATTGATGAGGAAATTACATCCTACCCTACTTTTAGATTTCCACTTTCAAAAATCCTATCACAAGTTTTATTTTTCAAAAATCAGGTTTTAATATTTAATTTAATATTAATTATATTATTTTCCCCAATTAAAAAAAA